TCGTGGCCATAAGTGGAAATTAGCGGGAGGACATTTTAAAACAAATTTGAGGAAGCACTTCTTTACACAGTGTGTAGTCAGAGTATGGAATAGTCTTCCAGCTAGTGTAGCGGAAGCTAAAACCATGGGTTCCTTTAAATCAGAGCTAGATAAGATTTTAACAACTCTGAGCTATTAGTTAAGTTCTCCCCAAGTGAGCTCGATGGGCCGAATGGCCTCCTCTCGTTTGTAAATTTCTTATGTTCTTATGTTCAGTCAAACTGAGACAAATCTATAACATTCATGGTAACTGATATTGTGTTTCTCTCCCAAAGCACCTGCTGAAGTAAGAATTGTACTTTTGGGAAAAACAGGATCTGGGAAGAGCAGCGCAGGAAATGTTATCCTGGGGGAACAGAAGTTTAACGTTTCATCTAATCCAAACAGTGTAACAAAATATTGTCAAACAGAACAAGGAAACATTAATGGCAGGAAGATTACAGTCACTGACACACCAGGGATCATTGACACTCAAAGGTCTGAGGAAGATCTGAAGTATTCCATAGTATCCTGTCTCACTCACTGTGCTCCTGGTCCACACGCCTTCATCTTAGTGCTGAGAGTGGGAAGATACACCAAAGAAGAGGAAGAGTCTGTGAGGATAATACTGAAGTGGTTTGGGGAGGAAGCCCTGAAGCACACAGTTGTCCTTTTCACACATGGTTATGAGCTTGACGAAAACCAAACCATTAATGGGTTTGTAGAGAAGAACAAGGATCTGAAGGAACTTGTTGATAAGTGTGAGGGCCGAGTCCATGTCATTGACTCTAAGTACTGGAACAATAAAAATGCTCAGTCTGCAGATCTCCTGGAACAACTAAAGAAAATGATGATAGAGAAGAGAGAAGCTGGGGAACCACAGGCTGTTCAGATACTGGAAGACCTGAAGAACCAGATATTACAGCAAAGATCCTCAGCACTTGATCAGGAACTGGGCCAAAGGTCAGGAAGACCTACAAGCTCTCATGGAAACCTGGATGGATCAGAGTACAGGAGCAACAGCTTTCAGATTAACCAGCTGCTGAAAACTATAGACAACATGGTGAAAGGGAATGAAGGTCGTTGTTACACTGAGGCATTTTTTTTCTTAATGCCGTCTGCCATAAAGACAAGCTTACAATGTGTCTTGCAATAAGACCAGGGAAGCAGGAGCAATAAAACAGAGAATTGGGGAATGAGGGAACATTCCCCAGTGTTTATAAGGAAAACAGCTAAACAATGAGGGAACTGCTGGGGTCGGGACGTCCGCCCCTGGGACTGGAACCTCGGAGGGTGGAGCCTTTTTAGCGAGCTTGGGGACATGCGGGATAGTATCCCTTATGGACCTGGCCCCTTTTAATACCAGGCACGTCCCCAGAAAGGGGCGAGCTGCTGACCCAGGCAGCAAAGCAGTGAGCTGACGATCCTTGGGCGTCCGCTGTGGATCGGCGGGGATTCCTGGGGAGGCGAATACCGCCGGGTTGAGGATCGGGAGAGGTTCCTCCCGACTCGCAGCAGGACAGGCAGCAGAGACAGAGAGAGCCCCTAGGGAGAGCTCTGGCGCATCCTCCCATCTGCGGCTTTTCCGCTTCTTTCTCCTTCCTGCAGCAGGTAGCAGAGTCTGGGGCACCTCGGGTAGCTGACAGCGGACCATAGGGTAATACACTGCCCATGGCTACCCGCCGCATCGTGGACTCCACCACGCCTCTTCTCAGCTGCGGCACATTCTCGCGCACCTCATCAGTGAGGTGCGCATCCTCGAATGGGGACATGCTCTCCAAAATATCCCCGGTACAAGCAGCCAGGGCGAGAGCCGTAGGGTCCTCCTGGACCTCGGGCTGTTGCAGCCAATAAATTACCACGTTCGTGAGGTCCGTGTATTCCGCCTTGCTGACGTGCAGCATCTTCTCTCCGAGTCCGGTCATTCTATCTTGCAATATGACTGGGGAAGCAGGAGCAGGGAGATGAAGAATTGGGGAATGAGGGATTTATTAGGAAAACAACCATGCTAGGCACAAGAACAGACGTCAGCGTGACACACGGGAGGAGGGGGCTGGACACAATGTTTCACTGTTAAAATGACTTGTGTTTTGGATAGCTTATATATTTTATTTCATTTGATATGGGCTTCACAGTAGCATTAGAATTGTAACATTTATGCGCATTGACGAGATGCAATGTCTTTAGTGTTTATAGTGAATAAATAAAATGTTCAATGCACATGTGTAATAGTGTTTGATGTTTTTACAGTAATGTTTTTATATCAAACATAATGTGAAAATATATCTGTATGTAGAAATGAGGGGGCCAAGCAGACTATCAGGGAATTGTTGTCATAGAAACTTCACATCATTTTGTCAAGGCTATGTACTCACAGCAAATATCATGTCAGTTGACCAAAGGTTGGCCAAGATGTGAGCCCTCTTCCTGCTTGAATGCTTCACTGCCAAACTTGATTAGCTGTGGTTAACCATATGATAATTTTTTGATGCTTTGTCTGAAGATTGTCTTTGAAAAATTTAGTGAAGATTCGACAATTAAGATTAGGGCCACTTAAAACTTCTTTTTGACTAATTTCAAAAGGGTGGCTATGCTTCTTTTAGAAACTCTTCTATCCTCCACTCGTTACCTGTATTAGTGGCACCTGTTTGAAATTGTTATCAGTATAAAAGACACCTGTCCACACCTTCAAATAGTCAGACTCCAACCTCCACCACAGCCAAGACCAGAGAGCTGTTTAAGGACACCAGGGTCAAGATTGGCTCATCCCAGTTTTGTGCAGGTGTACCATCTACAATAGGCAAGCAGCTTGGTTAGAAGAGATCGACTGTTGGAGCAATTATTAGAAAATGGAATAAATACAAGATCACTGACAATCTCCCTCGACCTGGGGCTCCATGCGAGATCTCACCTCATGAGGAACAAATGATCTTGAAAACAGTGCGAAAACAGCCCAGAACTACACGGGGGGAACTGGTCAATGACCTGAAGAGAGCTAGGACCACAGTAATAAAGGTAACTGTGTTACTAAACTATTAGTAACACACTACGTCGTCATGGATTAAAGTCTTGCAGCGCTCAAAAGGTCCGTAGATTTTGGGCAAAAACCCAAAAACAGTGCACTGAAGATGAAACGTGGCTGGATCTTCCAGCATGACAATGATCCCAGACACACTGCCTGGGCAACGAAGGAGTGGCTACGTAAAAAGCATTTCAATGTTC